AGAGAAAGAAAATTAAATCAAAAGACAAAAAGAGAGGGGAAGAGTCGGTTAGAAGAAAGAGAGCGCGTGTAGAAGGTAAGACGATATATAAAAGACTGCAACAAACATGGGTCCCACCATGTGATTTGGAGGATTTCTATTAGTCAGACACAAGTTACGTGGCACTCATAGTGCATGTAACAATTCCTCAGCGATCAGTGTCATAGAGGAACCAAGTTGTCAGCATCGTAATATATTCAGAGGATTAAAGACTCACCACGTGCAACAAGGAATTCAAACTAAATATTTTCGCCTAAATCGATTAGAACAATGAAAAGGGGAAAAAACGCAGGAGAATGAATCCATTCATTCAGCCACAAAATCGAATCTATTAGAATCAGAGTATGATTGAAGTATCCAACCTTTTCCGATAACCTTGCGATTTCGATGTTTCAGAGGAGTTTCTGACGCTTGGAAGACGCGGTCATGGTTGTAGCAACTTAACGAGAATGGGCTCAAGAAGCGATGGTTCCGTGATTAGGATGAGGACTGAAAAAATGAAAATTGTTCGTAGCTTGAGAGAATATGCATTGTAAATTTGGTGATGTCTCCTAAGACAGAAACGGCAACGGCGATGACGGATACCAGAAGCCAGAACGAGAGGTCTGGGAGGCAAACAGGAGGCCAAGGGAGTATTTTCTGGCAAAGGATTCAGAGTCCATGGGTCTCCAGTGCCGGCGGCCGAAGGCGCAGTGTAAGGATTGGAAAAATATCGGCAAAAAATAGGGAAAGTGGATCTTGTGTTGTGAATTGCAGCGAGGTTGTCTGGTCTTCTTGCGATGCGAGGATTCCAACTTGGACTCCCGTGGCGGTGATCCATGCTTTATGGGATTCAAGCCTTCACAGCCGCAGGTAATAATGCATGGAGGATGGTGGAGGAGTTGGCCGGCTAAGTCGGGTCTCTGGTTCTCGGCTAAGTGGGGATGGAGGGATTGAGCAGAAAAGGAGAAAGGAAAGAAGACAAGACTGAAGAGAGAGCTCCAGGTGCGCCGATGAGGTGGCGAGGAGGGAATATAAAATGGCTGTTACACAAACAAGTCGGGTCGAACGATCTTAGGATTAACAGTCAATGTCATTCGAGCATTGAATTCGGGGAATTATTACTACGAATTACTCCCTCCGTTTCTTATTATAAGAGACAAATAACTGAATTACGTTGATCAAAAAAGCAGTTAAAATTAGTTAAGAACAATCAATGTGTAAAAAATATAATTTTTTTCCAAAAATGCCCTCATTAATAAGGAGAGAAAGTATGAGAGAAAACAATTAAATTATTGAAAGAAAGAGAAGTGAGAGGGAGAGAGTGTGTGAATTTGAGACAATAAATATGGGTAAAATAGGAAATCAACACAAAAAAATAGAGACAACTTTTAAAGTGTCTCTTATATATAGGAATATACCATAAGCACTAAATGTCTCTTATAATAAGGAACGGAGGGAGTAATACTTTCATAGCAAAACAATTTTTTGGGTTGATCCTCTGTGTATTTTATCGGGATATTTTAGTACTTTATCTCTTACTTTGCGGTTTTCACACCCATACTATAATACAGGAAAAGGATATCTCCACTAACCTTTTTTTTTTACTTCCTTTTCACTCACTATTTCCATCATTAGAGCAAATTTAACGTTTGAGATTTATTTTATAAGAATATTATTAAAATATTAAATATTGAATAAAAAAATAGATAAATAAATTTATACTGTTAAAATTTGATATTAGTAGTTTAAAATGATAAATTTTTATCATATTTAATATTATAATAATTTTTGGGTTAATGTACAATTTTAATAACAAAGTTTGTTCTAAGGTGTATTAGGCATCATAAAGTTTATTTGAGTAATAAAATATATATGAAGTTGTCAAAAGGAAGCTTTTGGCACCACGCCATTAACGGTTGTTAATTTATCATTAGAAGGGCCCACGAAGTTAGTTTTAAGATATATTTTTAACAACAAAATTTATATCAAGGGGCATTAGGCACTATGAAGTTTACGTAGGTGGCAACATATACATGACCTTTCAAAAATAAAAAAAATAAAATTATCCAACTCCCATAAAACGTCTATTAATTTTAGTTTTTTGGGTTCCACTAAATATCACTTTTTCTCTCTACTCAATTCTACTTCCTCTTCTCCTTAGTATAATAGACAAATTTACAAAAATAAAAATAAAAAAGTAAAACAATTATTTAAATATAACATATAGTACATGATCTCTCTAAAATATTTATATGTATCATTTGATTATATATTAGTTTATAAGCCAAACAAATTAATTTGGAGAAAAACGATAAATATAATGCTTTAAAATAATTTATTTAATCTCCTTAAATTAGTTTATTGCGTCATATAGTAAGGACTGGATGTAGTACTTGGGTGTAAGCAATGAACCTTATATCTTAGAAGAAAAAGGTGTTGTTTTGCATAAATACATATAAAAGGCTTGGAGGTTGAGAAAACGACATGACAGAGAAAGTGTGCGTGTTGATTATGATAAAAGAAAGATGGATTGACTTGGAAGTAAAAATTGATAGAGGGAAAATATAACGTTTGGTGGGACCTAAAAGAATAAAATTAATAGATGTTTATGGGAGTTGAAAAATTTTGTTATTTTTTCTTTTTTAGAAAGTTCATGTATATTTTTGCATCCAAGTAAACTTCATGGTGCCTAATGCCCCCTTATATAAATTCTGTTGTTAAAAATGCATCTTAAAATTGACTTTGTGGGTTCCTCTGATGGTAAACTAACAAACGTTAACGGCGTGGTGCCAGATGTCCCTTTTTGACAACTTCATATATATTTTTGTACCCAAATAAACATTATGGTACTCACTGCCTTTTAGGGTAAACATTGTTGTTACAATTGCACTTTAACCCATAATCTTTTTACTCAATTTTAAATCTTAACCATTGAAAGTTAATTCAATGATGGAGAAATTAAGTAAAAAGGAAGTGGAGAGAAAAATTAGCGGAGGCGCCCTTCTCCCACTAAAACACTAATAATAATTTTTATCTTAAGAATTTTTTTTTAACCGATTATCTTAAGAATTCAATTTACTGAATTTTAGAATAAGTTTGTTCATGAAAGAAAAAGTCTATATATTTGCTTCGTTACTTAAGTTTGACCAAGTCCAATTATTAATCTCAACTTCCTGTTCAGGCAATCACTATCATTAAGATACTTTATGGACTTCCTCCGTTATTAATACAAGACGTTTTTAGTTTATATCCCACGTATTAAAAAAAAAAAATTAGGTTAAGTTATTCATATATATTATGTCAAGTTTTCTAATTACATACAATAATGTATCCTATTTTTTTCACGTAGGTTTATAATTAACTAATAATATTTTAAAAATAAGATATATTATCACGTGTGATTAGAGAATTTAACATAATAGATATAAGAAATTTAATATAATATTGTCATTAAAAAAATTAGTATAAAGTAATTGAGAATATTGAATGTTTTAAAAAAAATTTATAACATGTTAAAACCGCTATCAAGTAAAGTCATTAATTTTTATGCAAAACTTAATTATATGAGTTTCGAGCGCCTTTTTCTTATCTTTCCTGATTTTCTGCAAGTGCTTTGGTGAATCTTGAGCTTCAGGTACGATTTATATCTAGGTCTTTGCCTCTATTTTCTTTCGTCTTTGCTCTCCTTCTCGACCTCTTCTCCGGTTCCCCTGTCTGGCCATCATGGCTAAGAAAGTGATTCATTGGCCTACCTTTAAATCCCTGGCTCCGAAAATCTGGAATGTAGTAGGCCGTATTAAGATTGACGATGCTGAGGATAATAAATTTCTTTGTAAATTTGACAGTATTGATGATGCTGATAGAATTATAAGAGAGGGGCCATGGAGTATTATGGGATATAATGTGGTGGACAGCCCGGCAAATAGACATCCACAGGAATTAGTTTATCCACGCCCCCGAACAGTACTATAAGAATCGGTATTGAACATCCCCCTGTAATTGTACAAGCTCCCATAGCAATAACATATTTTGGTTCAGGCATTTGCTCATATAATCTCACTAAAGAAGGAGCCATACCTGACCATCCTGGCTGGCTTTTAGTGAAGTTAATTTGAAAATTTATGATTTCTGGGTTCAAGTCCATGTATTTAAGTTTGGAGCAAGTAGTGGTAAGGGCTGGCCGTAAAAGATCCAAGATTGAATGGTAATATTGCTCGTGCTTTTGTTAGAGCCAAAGTTGAGGTAGATATTTCAGAGCCTTTAAGTTGTGGTTTCTAGCTCACCAGACGTGATTGTTCTCGTTCTTGGGGGGATGCTAAGTATGAGCATTTGCAACATTGCTTTATGCCTGTAGTAGACCGGGACATGAATCAAGGAACTGTAATCAAGCAGCGAGTATTCCGTTTGGTAAGGGGCTGGCAACTCCAATGGTAAGGTTTATAACTGAAGTAATTTGGGCTGAAATTCCTGGTACTGGAGGTATGAATGAGAAAGTAGCAGATCAGGCTGAGTCGAATTTTCCTGTGAAAGAAGTTGAGATGAGTGAGGGTTCACAGAATATGGAAGCCATGTAGTCTGTTTCGAATGAAAAATATTATTGAAAAAAGGAATGAACTGAGGAAAGATGCTATAGTGGACATGGAAGGGCTGTGATGTGGTTTTTGCCAATGATACTGCCCCAAATAGCGTTTCTGATCCTAAGGTTGAGGGGAGTTCTCGCAGATTTGTTTCTCTTAAAAAGAAAACCCCTGTGAAAAATGATGTGCCCCGTCCGGCGAGTGGTCATTCTGGTTCTAAGGAATCCTCTAATATAAAGTACATTGTTGAGCTTCGACCTGAAAAGGAAGAGGTGGCTCAACCTGATTCATCGAAGTTGATGATTTAGTGGAAAGCACCGAAAGTTGAGGAGGAGTTAGTGGGCAAATTGGGCTTGGTTAGCGTGAAAAGGAGTGCAGATGATAAATAGCCTTCTCCTAATCCTAAGTGGAGGAGGTTGCTGCCCAAGAAGAGGATATTCAACAAGATTTAGTAGTTACAGCAAGTGAAACGTTTCAGATTGGTGAAGGAGTGGTTAATTCGGCTAGGAACAAGAAGAAAAAGTCTGCCGCTGCTAAGAAACTCAATTTAGATGGCTTGGTGGAGGTTCTGATTGGTGTTACTAAGGCTGAGGGTGGTTTATTACAGGGTTGATTGGAGTAATGTGTGTTCTGCTAAGGATGAACGGCATGGTGGCTGGCCGGAAACAGCCACTAAGGAGCGATGAGTATTATTGCTTGAACCTGTCAAGGTTTGGGACCTATATTGACAGTTCGTCATTTAAAGCACAGCTGCGTAAATATTTACCTCGTATTGTCTTTCTTTTTGAAACTAGGATGAAAAAGGAGAAAATTGAAAAACTTAGAAAGAAGTTCAAGTTTGATTTTGGTTTTTATGTTGATCCGATTGGTTTATCTGGTGGTTTAACACTCTGGTTTTCTTCTTCTGTACAGTTATCTTGTGGCCGTAGTTCTCGCCACTTCATTCATGTCAAGTATGAAGGATCGATTGATGGTTGTTCTGGTTACATCACCTTGGTGTATGGCCTTCCGGTTAGAAGAGAAAGAAGGGGGTGGTGGGCTCAGATGGCTTCCTTAAATCCGGGTGATCAAGTACCGTGGGCAATTATGGGGGATTTCAATGATTTGCTCTATAGTTCTGATAAAGAGTGTGAGGATTTATGACCTTAATGAGCTTAGAAATTTTCGGGACTTCATGGCTAATTTGTGTATAATGGAAATTAAGTTGAAAGGTAGGCAATTCACTTAGATTAATAAAAGGGAACGAGATGCTTTTATCGTGGAAATTAAGTTAATGGCATCTTGCGTTTATTATCTTCACATGTGCTTCACTACTGAACTGGCTCCCAATTTATGCTTATCCGTGACATGAAGGATCTAACACAATTTTTAAATATCAATTTATGTCTTTTTTTCAATTTTTCTAATGACAGCTTTTGCCAGGACATAACAAATTGATTAATACAATCATCAATTAGCAAATTAGAGGGACCCACCAGACTTAAAAAATTGACTTGTAAAAGATAATAAGGAATATTTAACCACACACCGTGGTACAGATTCTAAACGCCTGATACGATAAAATCCTAGAAGAGAAATAAAATTCATTAACCCAAATTAAAAGGACTCTAGCTATAATGATCAATTAGCAAAAGTTCATATTAGATACTCTAATGTAAAAATCAATTTGAAGAACAATGACCAAAAGTGAAAGGAAAATAAAATATGAAGGGTATTCAAGAAAGGATGAGCTGAGAAAGGAAGGGGTACCTTTTTTTTAAGAGTGAAAAGGTAATTTTTATTGATAACTAGTAATTACAAGAGGACTACAGAAAAACAAGAGGAAGAAGCGATAAAAGAAATAGACCTAGATCAGAGAAGAGCCATTTGTTTGTGATGATTCTGCACTGCAATTGTATAATCGCTTAAGGCTAAAACTTGATGGACCAAGCCAATGGGATTGGTGTCTTCCTGGGAGAAGAGGAAACGATGCCTTGCGTCCCAAAGTTTCCAACACAAGAGTCCAAACGCAGTGCATCATTGTCTATTTTGATTATTAAGCTGCCAATTTTCCTTAAACCATCTCTCATACGGTTGTCTGAAACATTGCTACTGAGGCAAGAACTAATAGATTCCAAAAGGAGGAGGCTAAAGTGGGGTATCTGAGTACATGATTTAAGTCTTCTGAAGCTTTTCCACAAAATTCACAGCAGTCATCAGACGCCATCTTTCTCTTGAGCCTAACTTTGTTAGTAAGAAGCTTCTTATTCATTACTAGCTAGAGGAAAGTTCTGACGCGATGTGCTCCCGGCCACTTCCAGACTAAGCTCCAATGGGACCTTTCTTCATTCCATTCACTCTTTTTCAACAATCTATAAGCAGAACTCAGAATAAATTCATTGGTATTGGTGAGACGCCAGATGTATGAGTCTGTCGTGTTTTGATGCGCTGGCCATGGGGGCATTGGTCCGCACTATCGGATCAAGAATTTGCTAAGGCAAGTGGTTCACAAACTCCTCCCACTTCCATTCTCCTTCTCTGGTCATGTACTGGCGCAGAGTTTTTTGACCCCCATCCTCGGTAATTGGTCAAAATGAGAGGTTAGTTAGGGGACCTAATTCCCCTAATCCGCTTTCCATCTCCTACTCCCTCCGTTTCTTATTATAAGAGACATTTGATGCTTATGACATGTTCCATATATAAGAGACACTTAAAAGTTGTCTATATTTTTTTGTATTGATTTCCTATTTTACCCCTATTTATTTTGTCTCCAACTCATACTCTCTCTTCCTCCCACTTCTTTTTCTTTTAATAATTTAATTGTTCTCTCTCATACTCTCTCTCCTTATTAATGGGGGCATTGTTGGAAAAAACATTATACTTTTTACACATTAATTGTCTTCAACTAATTTTAACTGTTTTTTTTATCAACATAATTTGGTTATTTGTCTCTTATAATAAGGAACGGAAGGAGTATTTTCCAAGCTAACCCCAAGTTCAGTTCATCTTAAAGAGCCATCAAGCCTTTCCATAAATGCAAGCCAGTTTTGGTCTTAGTTGCAACTGACTTGCTTTTTGGCCAGCCATAATTTCTTTTTGAGGAAATTGCAATAAGATTCCACTCAAGGGAATTAAATATAAAAGAGTCTATTGAAATCATCAAACTATTTTAAAGTCTCAAGGGACCTCACTATAATAAATTTTATTCAATTAGTTACCAACTTGCCTCCCTTTTTAAAGTTTGCATTGACAATTGAAAAAGTAGTCGTTGACAACTTAAGGTGTAAGAATTAACAACTATCACGGTAGATATTGATAATATATTTTCTCAGTACATCACAAAATGTAATGTGTGAGTTTTCAATACCTGCTGCGATGGTTGTCAATTCTTACATTTTACGTTGTTAGCGATTGCTCTTTCAATTATCAATACAAACTTAAAAAAAAAGGACAATTTGGTAATTAAACAAATAAATTCTCTTGCAATAAGGTTCCTTAAGACTTCAAAATAATTTGATGATTTTAAGGAACTTTTTTGTATTTAATTCTCTTAGGTGAGACTTTGGTGCAATTTTTCCTTCTTTCCAATGATCTGCACCCATAGTAGGTGTGGTGTGGTGTGGTGAAAATGGCGTGACCAAGCTTCATGAGAAAAGCAGTGTTTTGTCCTTCGACGTCTTTAAGTCCGCATCCTCCATGTTGATTTGGTTGACAGACTTGATCCCATTTCAACAGATGCATGCTTTTCTTATGTTCCGTGGAGCCCCAAATAAAGCTTCTGATAATTGAATGGATTGCTGGGAAGTAGTGACCGGCAAATGTATGTTCTTATATTGGGATAGTGAAATAGTCTCTACTGAGGCAAAGAAGACCACACACGCTTTTAGATTGGTGTAACATCATCTGCCTTGTGCAAAGCCCAATGTAGGAGATTAATTAGCACCATCTAAAACGAAGCCTGAGGCCTATTGTGAACAGTAAACTGAGTGTGGAGTTAATAGGCCATATTTTGAGTCGGCTTGACGGATGGGTCATTAATAATATATGGATGGCTATTCTTGCTACGATCAATCCAGTATGAGGACAAAATCCTTAATAATGGTCAGAGCCTGATGTGGAAAATGCACAAGAATTAATAAAAGGATTTACTTTTGCATCGACAGGGATTTATAATAAGTAAAATGGATTACAGAAAAGAAGTCGGAAGGTTTTGATGATCGCCATTATTTGACCAATCTCAGATTGGTAGATTTACAGTGGAGGAAAAGGCAATAAAATAATTAAAAAAATTCCATGTCAGTGCCAAGTGTCATTTTGCTCAATTACCCCAAAAAAAAAAGTGAGATGGCAAAAACCGTTACATTTAACAGTGATATTAATATGTCAAAATTGGCTTCGTTAGTATTGCTAACAGACAATCGTCTGAACTTCACAAAATTCTCTCTTATATAAAATTACCAAATAAATGTATACACCCCTTGACAAATTAATAACAAATTATTTGAGGATTGCAACAAAGTAAAAATAATCAAGGATAATTTTGAAAGCGAGTCTCTGGATTCCTAGACTAATTCGTGATTAAAGAGGACTGTTGTAAATATTATGTATGGGTGTGTCAAAGGAAGAGTCCCACATTGCTTGGGATTGTGGGGGTCCAAGTAATAAGAGGTCTTGGGCTGCTAAATGGGCCAAGAGGAGGAGTGGACTCGTACGCACAATGGGCCACCGGAGACAAATCCGGCAATTTCCCCTCACCCCCTGTGCATGAGTCAAACGCAGTATTGGGCACCTTTTATGAAAAATATCTGTCTAATTAATACCTCCTTAATCACCATTATACCTCTTCAATATTTGTAACTGACGTCTTTAATAAGTCTAAATCCTCATTAAGTGAGTTAATGATATTGAAACTGAAACTTAATTGTGTTTAAGTGCCCAATGCTCTCTTGTGATCCGCGGCCTATAAATGGGGCATGAAACCGAAGTTCACAACGACTGAGCTTTGAGCTTTCGGGCAACTCTCTTCCCTCCTCTGGTGTTCTGCCTTACTGAGTTCTTTTACCTTTCGCTGTTCTGCTCACCCTGTTCTTACAGGAAGAATCCGTTTAATCCTGGGGAGTGCCGCTTCTTGCTTTGCCGGTAGTTGCGGAATAGCTCTTAAGGACAGTGTCTGTAAGACACGACTCGGATTTACCGTTCTCTGCAGGTGCTGCTGTCAACAGGGTTTGCCTAGCATTATAGAGGAGGTGGAAGATCTACTGGATCTTGGAGAATTTTGGTGCTACCGCAACCAATCTTAAGAGCTAGTTGCATCAATTGTTTTCACATTCATTGGCGGCAAAGTTACCGAAGAGGGAGGCGTCTGATCTTTGTCCTATTGACATTTTTGAGACTGCATAACAGAGAAATTGGCTGAAATAAGCTGCTACTCTTCTTCTCT